CATTTCTTTATCTTTTCTTTTTCGTGTGCTCGCATGAATGAATAGAGTAGAGCAGGAAAGAATAAAAGATGACCGAATCGATCCCCCGGTAGGCAAAATGATTATTCAATCGCTGTATCGATTCTTCACTTGCGTCGAACGTTGTGGTTAAATAACGTTCCCTTTTTTGGCTACCTGATATTTTATCTTTTTCTCCTCTCTTCGCACATTTATCTTGTATAGTTATAGATGTGCATATTCATGCATCTTCGTTTGCATGCTCGTGTTTGCTTCTCCGTTTCGTTGCTCTTTGTGGCGGATAGGAATTTAGTCGCGTCCCGTCGGCCTCGCCCCCTGCGTCGTGATTTGTTCGCCCATAGCGATTCGTCCTTTCGCACGTTTGCTTAGATGTATTTGTTTCTCTGTGTTTGTTTCGTTGCGTTTGTCTAGCAATGTTTCTTTAGCTATGTTTGTTTTGTTACTTTTTTCCGCTTCGTTTTTTCCCGTTGTTTTTTCGCTTCGCTTTTTCGCGCCGCTTGTTTCTGTTAGTTCTACCCCCGTGGTGTACGGTGTGTCTGCCTCCTCCACGCAGGTCTTGTCTGAGTACACTTCCGATTCAGAAGACGCCGGTTTACTCCATTTCGATTTGCTTCGCGTGCACATGATCATGCGCCGCGGTTCACACGTCATGGAGAACGCTCAGCAAAGCATAAAGAGTGTATCCATATGCGTACAGGACTGTCAATCGGCATATGTCTCAGTGTGTGTTTGATTCCCTTACACACATCTGCCCCAAGTGATAACATTTTTCATTTTAAGGGGGCCGTAGATTTACTTCCTCTCATTGGCGCAGGTCGGGAAAGGTTCCTCATCCCCACCGCAGTTTAGCGTCAGCGGAATTTTTTTTGATTACCATTTTGAGGGGGGCTTCTCCAGCCATGTTTATCACCCCCAGGGAAGACACTTCGACTTGATTGCATATAGTCCTCCCCCCCCTCCAAAGAGGCAACTTCCAAACCGTGTCTGCACAACCGCAAGAAACACGGTAACTCTGGCGGATTAACGAGCCCACCACATAATCTCCGTCAGCCGCTTAGCCGACTAGCCGTCCAATCGCCCAGTCGATTAACCGCTTATCCGGTCACCTCGAAGATGAAAGAGAAGAAGGAGGGGAAGACCGAAGAGGCCATCTCGTGCCGAAAGGAGGTGCGGCAAAAGAAGTGCGACAAGGCGGAGGAGGACATGAAGGGCCACACGAAAAGCACACTGCCCGACAGCGACGAGGACTACTCCATCATTACGCTGTGCACAAAGTGTCTATCCAAAAACACGGAGGAAAATAAAAATAAAATCATCCTCCACAGTAAGGCGTTCAAGGATAACAAAGGAAAAGGCAGATGTAGTGTTAGCAGCAGTACGGACCCCTTGTCTAACCAACTGAACCTGTCTCCTTATTTTGATAGGTCACAAATTGTTCAGGAAGTGATCCTAATGGATAACAACGAGCTGACAGATGTGTACGAATTGGACAGATACAAACTTGGGAAGGGGTCCTATGGAAATGTCGTCAAAGCAGTTAATAAAAAAACAGGACAACAAAGAGCAATAAAAATTATCGACAAAAAAAAAATTCAC